AAAAAGGAACCACCTGTGGTATACCGGAAAAGAAAGCCTTTGAGCTCCATACTGTTTCAGAGATAATCCTTGATAATCCATGATATGGCGTTTCATCACGGCAGTATTTAGTTTAGACAGTAGCTGCCGGGTCCCATGAGCTCAGACCCCTCCTTTTTTTTTTTTTTTTTTTATACCCAAAATCAGCACTTTTGAAACAGGAAGTGAAATAGAGGGATATGAGGCATGGCTAGAATGGGTGATCTGTTTGGTATTTTGAGCAAAACACTTCATAGACATGTTTTCTATATATTTGTATATATCTGAGACCTATGCTATTGCCTAAAAATAGCATGATAGGTGACCTTTAAAGAAACTACATGTAGAATTATTCTATGACAAGTCTTTGCGTGTATCATTTTTTTTGTTTTAAAAAGTATAATAAAGTAAATAAAAGAAAAATAAGACAACCTACTATGAAAAAAGTATATCAGAGACTAAAGGTGGAAGAGGTGTTACGTTCAAGCAAGATGTCTTACTGCAGAAATGTGTGTAAGAGTGTATTAGTGGGGGTCTCGGGTCTTTGAGTAACTGTTGGGAATAAAGTGTTTTTATGTAGTTAAATAGTTTTTCTTACCACCTCTATCATCCATTAGACTAGAGTTATTTTTAAAGCACCAGTTTTGACTGTTATTCTAAGTTGACAGGAAAGTGTAATAACTAGTGAAACAGAGCCTGGCCTCCGTGAAGGACAGGAAATGGCTTTTTCTTTTTGCCTCTGAGACCGGTGGCAACAGCAAGCTCTGAGGTTGCTGGGTTATTCTGTTGTCATGGATACCTGCTCTGGATTCTGTCGATGCACAAGCTCAGCAAAATGTGATTTACTTGAGTTGATAAATGCCCTCTCACAGCACCTCGGTGAAGCTTGCTAATTAAAAAAAGTCTCACAGCTTGACACTCGATCAAGCAGGGGTGTAATTACCGTTGGGGACTTTTCAAAATCTTGTTTTTGTCCCCTTGCCTTTTTTAGGAGACGAGGCATTACGGGTTATTTGTCTTAAACCTATTATGAAAACATATGGCCTTTATGGAGTAACTAAATCATATTTAAATAAGGAATAGGACCCCATTCCATTTACACAAAATTAACTTTTGATTTGGTTGTGCAAACCCTTTTATGCTTTTATATTAGCAATTACTACATGTTGACTGAGAGGAGTTGCTTGTATGGAGCAGCCCACGGATCATTTACACCAACACTGCAGTTCCCATCATCACTGCGGAACATTTTCTATGATTTCAGCTCATTAGGCAACCTCACATCTAGCAAAAGCAGTTTGCAAAAAAGGTATGTAAATCACCAGCCCAGTCTTGATTTGGTGATTCTAAAGCGTTTCATTTTGGTTGAATGATAGGGATATCTTAAAAGCCAATCAATATGTCCAGGCAATCAGCTGGACATCACCTCGTTTCCTTTTCCTCCCTGGATGACCAGCGTTCTGCTGCCCTCCTGTGGGACTCGGCTGTCTGTTATCCAGGAACATAAGGAGTTAAAGTCAGGCGTCGACAAAGAATGTTGCTGTGTGGTTTCTAGCAGACTGTCTGAGCAGCGAATTAGATAATGGAGACTCGGAGGCTCAGTGTAATGTGAGACGGCTGGGAGACTGTCTTCCAGTTTCCTGTTGAACTGGCTTCATGTGGAGATGAGTGATCCGATCATGTTGCAGATTTGTTGAGTTTAATCCACCTGCATATTGAGCTCATGTCCATGGAGAAATTAAATCAGGAAGCGTGGGAAAATAAAGGCTCACTCACTTACCTCATCACATGCTAATTAGTGAAAACACATAATCATGGGAAATGCTACTGCTAATCCCCTGTAATAGCTCCACGGGGGAGATAAAGGAGGGGCATTATGGGAAAATTTGCTATACTGTACATTGTGGTGATAACCCTGTGATTGGTTATGTTCATTAAGTGTGCTCCTGGTGAATCCCAGAAACAAATTGAAAATCCAGAGTGAACTCAATAACCTGTCTCTGAATGTTGGGCAGACGCATGAGGTCGTTACTGACGTCACGAAGGCCCAAACTGCCCAACGACCTGTTTTCCTAAACGGATGCTGCTTGTCGGGAGTCGGGAGCGCCATGGTGTTCACGTCACTGATTACCTCTACTGGAAATGCACCCCTAACCGAGAAGGCACAACCGCTGCCTCCTCGTTCGGCGGCACCTGGAAGATTACAGACATATTCCTGGATCCACAGTTTTTTTCTTATATTGACATTATCATAGTTAGTTTCCTCATCCTCGCTGCTGGGGTCTAAGGACAGAGGGTATCGTATGCTGGACACACTGTAAAGCCCCCTGAGAATTTTTTTTTGATTTGTAATATTGGGCTATATCAATAAAACATGACTCTTTTTGATACGATTTGAGACCGCTTGCAATTCCCAATCCATTCTATTCCGGCTTCATCACTTTCTGGTGGATAAAATCAGAACACACATCTTTGAGGACCGAGAACTAAGCAGAGTTCATCCTTTGGAACTCTATCCTGTATATGAATTGTGTATAAATTGAGGACTGGTACCGCTGACTTCCTTTCTCTGCATGTGTGTAATGGATACATCGAGGCACCAGGAGCACATAACATAATTGTTTGTGCACACAAATGGCAATCAAATGTCTCTTAGCTCCCTTATTTTATCTAAAACTAATTTTGTAATCTAATATTTTTTTCATTCTTTCAAGACTACAAATCAAATCTCATATCAATATGTTTTTTGCCAGATCAATATAGACTTACGGTATGTGGATACAGCAAACAGCAGTCAACATTAAACCCCCTTCACATTCACACACACACACACACACACACACACACACACACACACACACACACACACACACACACACACACACACACACACACACACACACACACACACACACTCACAACATTTCCCTTGAGATCCCCCATTATTCTGCATGGCCTCCAACGTACCCCTCCCTCTGTCCCTCTCATCCCATCACCCCACCCCCCTCCCAGACAGGAGGTTGCTATGGCGCTGCCTCAGCTACTCTGGTATCCAGGATACGCTGACACACTCTGAATCCTGATTGGCTGGCAGTTATGCAAGGGTGGGCACACAAAAAAGGAAGGGAAGGAAGGAGAAAAAAAAAAGAAAAGAGGTTGATCCTGGATGTTAGATGGATGTCTGAGGCGGCTCCAGGCAGAGCACCGAGCACCATTTTAGGCAGGAGAGAAAGGTGGGCTGAGACGGAGCAAGAGGAGAAGGAAAAAAAAGAAACGAGAGGAAGAACGAGCGGCCGGTTTCTTTCAGAGGAAGGAACGCCGGAGCATATGTAGTCTGGAGTGAGAGAACAACGGGCTGGAAACAAGGAGGCAGGGGGAAAGGAAAATACGAGGAGGCATGAGCACGAACCGGAGAGATGCTGCATCCCGTCCTCTGTCTTTTATCCTGAGAGAGGAAGCATCGTGAGAAGGAGAAAGGCTGAACTGGTGGAGCATTGAAAGAAGAAAGGAAGGATCCTGAAAAAGGAGAGGAGGTGCTCACACAGACTCACACACACGCTGACACAGAAACGCTCCCAGCCTCCACGGGCAGGCCGGGGAGACGCTGGCCATCGGCAAAGTGGCAGGAGAACCGGAGGAGGTGGCCGCCGGCGCCGAGCGGAAGAGGAAGGCGGCCCTAGAGAGCGGCGAGGGAGACAGCCGTGGGGGGGCACGAGGCGACGCGGTGTGGTGTGGCGGCTCGGCGCTGAGGGAGAGACGGAGGGGGAGGGGCAGCGCGGCTGAGGAGGAGGAGGAGGACGAGGCCAGGGGGTTGATGGCTCGCGGCAGCGGCTCGGGGAGGTGGAGCCGGCAGAGGCTGGGCTTCCTCACCACCATGCTGCGCTGCAACCTCCCCCCTGAGACCCAGAAGGTGGTGGTGTTCATCATCATGATGCTGCTGATCGTCATCAACGTGGTGCTCATGTTCCTGCTGGCCTTCCAGTAGAACGCACACACAGACTAATATACTCTCTCACACACACACACACACACACACACACACACACACACACACACACACACACACACACACACACACACACACACACAAACTGAAACACACACGGAGCGAGGAGCAGAAGAGGACTTCCTGGTGGTGAGCGGGGCTGCTGGGATTGATGGGTGTCCAACATGGCAGAAGCAGAACACAGGTACAACCAGGAGAAGATCATATTGTGTGAGAGTGGGTCGATTGTGTTCACCAGAAACATGTAAACAAGAGCAATTAAGGGTCCTACGTGTGAAGGGGTTTATCAGGAAGTGTTCTCTCTAGTCATCAATGCAGATGGGTGGTCCAGGTGTTGAGATGTCTGCTGTGTGATGTTAGTCTCCACCCCAATACAGTGAAAATGATGTAATTCAGATTGGGGTGCATAAAGGATAAGGCTTATGTCATTCATTGCTTTACTAAATGTCAACAAATTCCATAAAAAGACCTGAAAAAACATTGATTTAGTCTGTCTCTCTTCCTGAGTTCCCTGACCTCTGTGGCTTTCATGCTCCATTGGCTAATCAATACATCTTTATCTTTCAAAAAATAAATAAACAAGTTTCATTAAAAATAAAACGTACTAATTTGCTAAAGCAGCTGGACAAACTTCACTCAACAAGCAGGACATTGTGTTTTTCTTGAGGTTGTTTTAACGTAAGATAAATACATTTGTGGTGTTACAGTGAGCATTTAAGGCAACATAAATATGATGTATGCAGCTTGTGCAGATAGGATTTGTTGACTCAGTAAATACAATATTGTTCCTAACCTTACACTTACTTGTAAATGGAGAATTTCTTAGGTGTTTGAGAGGATATTTGGATGATCCAAACCGTCTGAAAGCAGTATAACAGAGTGCTTTCAGGTGATGTAACACACTGTGGACACATGGTTAGATAACACGGCTGATTGTGTTCCTAACATAGGACTCGGCAGGTTTAACCGAACTGAATAGACTTTTATCATTGATTTAGTGCCATATATTATAATGAAATCTGAATGTAATGTAGAATATGCTGAAGTTACCATACAGTAGTACCTCCAAAACATTTTGTATCTGCCTTTATGACCATCTAGCTTTTTCTACAGCACCTAAAGTGCAGTCTCTGCCATGCCACTTGAACATTTATGAGTTGACTTGTCATACACTTTGTTTGACTTGGCTCTGAACACTAGATCTTGTTTGACTGCCTGGTTTGTTTATTTTTGTAACATACACTAAGAGTTGTTCTAAATAAAGCTGTCAAGATTACACTGCAGATATTGTAGCAACAGTTTGGAAAGTTTTCTTTTAACGGTGCTTTTGCGGACTGGATGTGTTATTTAGGAAAAGGAAAGTAACATTCTGTCATTTTTTTGCGGTCAGATGTTCTTACCCAGAGAAGCTGCTTTACCACTTGGTAGACACATAAATCGAGTGAATCGTCTTCGCTGCTATTTTCTCTCCTACCTGTCCTTATGCCTCACTATTCAGCAAACTAATGGCATCCTATCAAATCACTGTCTGCTGCTTTTAAAGATGTATGAAGATGATCACACTTATCTTGTTTCCATTGATAATTCACTGCAGGGCAAACACCACTCTGCTTTACCTGTCCCACAATGGGACACTTCATACATGTCATTAGTTATTGAATTAAAAAGAGATTTTTAGCACCAAGTTTGATTTTAATCAGCTGTTCACAAACCTCTGAAATAAAGTTGTTGCCTCATCATGTGTTGTACAAATCTGTGAGCTTTTTATATGGAGTGATATCAGATTGTTTTCAATGTAATAAGTGTAAAATTATCCTAAAGAGTATTTCACTTCCAGGTATTACTCAGGTCCCTCTTTTGTTTATGTTTCTGTGCCTAGAAGAAGCGGTCTGACCCTTAAAGTCAGACGACATATGTTTATACCCGACCTACGCTGACTTTAGCTTCAGGGGCACAGCTGCTTGTGTATTAGCCATGGCTGTTACCATAGTGACCTTTAGTCATGCTATATGAGCACTGTGATGATGCTTGACCTGTTTACGAGCAGCTCAATGCTCACTATCCTCACATTAGGAACGGGACGGTGTGCTGTCATGAAGTCGAGGAGGATTCAGGAGAGAAGGGCAGCACCGAGGCAAGATCATGTGGGAGGGTTGCCTAGCAACAGCCGTATCGTCTGTTTCCCCTCATCGCCATGATGGATCACAGGAGCCAGATCGCAGAAGAATATAAAACGACTGTCTTTAAAATCAATATCATCCGGACCCTCCAATCAGATCCTGCTGACGGGGTCCACAGGGTTTGAGCTGCCTCTGAAGGAAAGAGAAGCATAAAGTAGAGACCGGGCCATGTTGACGCAGTAAAACTGGTGTGTACGAGGCGGTGTGAAATATGACCACTGCAGTGTCTTCATCAATAACACCGGCTCCATCTCCTCTTCTGGCCTCACACTTCCTCTGCTGTCTCTCCGTCCACTTTCACCTTCTTATTGATTCTACACTCAGACTTCACCGCAATCAATGTCTGCTCGCTCTGCCCTACTTGTTAAGCTCTATCAAAGCTTATTAATAAAGTTGGAAGGCAGGGACTGACCTGTGTGTTCTGAATGAAGGGCTTTCCTTTGACCTTATGCCTTTTAAAACTGATTTCCCTGAACATGCCTTTGCTGAAAATACCAATTCTATCGAGGGAACATTATGTCCACTACCATCGCTGAGAGGGCATGATTTGGGCTGTAAATGGGCTGACTGCTCACTTTGCCTCAGTATGACTTTGTAACACTGCAGTCCATTTTTTAAACATCCACAACTATCAATCGTATTGTTTTTGTTTCTTTTGTTTTCCAAGCTCTTAAGAGTCAGCTTCTCTTTGTCCCATCATGCAGTGTATTTAGTGTTAACACTGTCCTTCAAAACCATCGCATGGACCCACATTAAATCATCCTGAAACCCATCATGTGTCGAGGAAGCGACACGAGACGCTGATGATCCTCTGACTTTTAATCCTGCACCACCACGAGGTTAACATATTTTTGTAGTAATATCTCAAAATTGTAATAACTTTCAAATCAATACGAGTAATGGTTACACTTAAAGTGTTTGAGGAGTGTGTTGCACTGACGTCGTTCCCTCAGTTAAACCCATCCATGCTTTTAGCGGCTGGTTGTTTACGATGATGGGTTTTCATGATCTGATTAAATGTAACACTGCAGCACATGTTGACCTCTGACCCCTCTCCTTCCTCTGCAGCTGATCAGCGATGGCAGCGTGGTGTACGCCGAGGCGCTCTGGGATCACGTCACCATGGACGACCAGGAGCTGGGCTTCAAGGCCGGGGACGTCATCGAGGTAGTGGATGCCACGAACAAGGAGTGGTGGTGGGGTCGCATCGTGGACAGCGAGGGCTGGTTCCCTGCCAGCTTCGTACGGGTGAGACAACCTCCATCACTGATCCAATCACCCCTGCAGGCGGCTTTTAATTGCTCTGTTTGATTGATGACTGCTCCTGCTGCAGTAACAGCAGGACATTAACCTTCAACCGGTTATCAATACTCCTGCAGAATTAGAGTTCTGTTTCTTTTAGTGAAGACATTCCTCATGCAAATATAATATGTTCTTGCACATGGGGTTCAAAATGCTTGTGCGTATTTGATTTATGTGAACATATAATGTCAAATTAAAGGCAAGGCTAGTTTAGCACCTTTCAACACAAGGCAATTCAAAGTGCATTACAGAAATGAAACACATGAGCATTAAGAAACATATTATAAAATGGTATTTCATTTAAAAGCAAAGATAACAAAACATGAATAACAAAGGTACATGAATTAAAGGGACAGTGCAGTGTGAGATACACACATCTGAAAGGTTTAGCTCTGACTATCAATCATTGCTCACTTCTTAGCAGAAATCGTTTTCTATGACCTCACTTTCTTTCTACTTTCTTTTTAACTTATCCTTTAGTTATTTAAAGTGTTTCATACTAGACGAACCCCCCTCTGGAACATTCTGCGACCCGGTATTCCGAAAATTCAACGGATCCTGGCCGTATTTGTGTAGCATATCAAATTAATATGCCGAGGTGTTTATTGGGAAAAATTGTTCTTTAATAATTATTTTTCGCGTCCTCCTCAGTTGCGTGTGAACCAGGATGAGCCCATGGAGGAGTATCTGGCCCACTTGGAGGGGGCTCAGGCTGGAGAAGAGAACCGGGCCGGTCTGGGTCTGATGCTGGGACCAGGTCTACCCTGCAAAGAACAGATGCGGACCAACGTCATCAATGAGATCATGAGCACAGAGAGGGACTACATCAAGCACCTGAAGGACATCTGCGAGGTCTGGATCACATCTTGTCATGTTGGTTCTTTTTTTTAAATGAATCCTGAAAGTCTGTGCAAGTGCTCTGAACCTTTTTCTGTTTCCCTCAGGGTTACATCAAACAGTGCCGCAAGAGGACGGACATGTTCACTGAAGAGCAGCTTCGGACCATCTTTGGCAACATCGAAGATATCTATCGATTCCAGAGGAAGTTCCTGAAAGGCCTGGAGAAGAAATTCAACAAGGAGCAGCCGCACGTCAGTGAGATCGGCTGCTGCTTCCTCGAACACGTAAGCAGACTCACATACGTCAATCCACAGTAGTGTAAACATATAGACAGAATGGCACACTGAAGGAAGGTAAATATTGTTTTCGTAACACCATCTTGTCTTCTTGCGTGCAGCAAACAGATTTCCAGATCTACTCCGAGTATTGCAACAACCACCCCAACGCCTGCATGCAGCTCTCTAAGGTCATGAAGGTCAACAAGTACGTGTTCTTCTTCGAGGCCTGCCGACTCCTCCAGAAGATGATCGACATCTCGCTGGACGGCTTCCTGCTCACTCCGGTTCAGAAGATCTGCAAGTACCCTCTGCAGCTGGCTGAGCTGCTCAAATACACCAACCCACAGCACAGGTGAATCAAACCGAGATCAGGAGAACC